TGCCGATGAGCATCATTCTGGATGTTTGGGAGCGAGTGCCGCCATTTTCGTAACTGCTGACTAATAAGCCTTGAAGGGTGCTCAACAAACTCTTTGGGTCCACAGAGCTTGGCCACTCATTAGTCTGCCCTTACGGGCTGGGTTGTTACCACTCAGTCACAGCAATAGAGGATCTGCTGGCATCTCCTGAGTGTTGTGCATCCCTCAGTGTGTTATGAGTACAAGGTTTCTCATATGTGGCCGATAATATGCTCTAATGTGTGGGTTAATATGATTTCAGCTTCCTGCATTCGTGTGAGGCTTCTCAAGGCTTCAGCTTTTTTTTTTTTTTTATTTTCCCCGGTGTTTTGTTAGCCTGAGCTATTTCCTTAGGTTTGGCCTCCAGCCCACAAAAGCAACATCTGCAGGGCTCTCACACAGTGACGCCAGTCTACCTCAGCCATGATTTGGCCTCAGCTTACTGAAGGACAAGCGTGTAGAGGCTCCCCTGGTTTATCTTAGGTGGGTCACGGCATTGACACGCAGCTGCACTCCTAGCTATATATATGTACGCCTCCACCTGGGGACTGGCTCCTCAGGTGTGTGCTCACCATGGCTCGCTGGGAGATCCTGTGCTTTGCCTTGTGCTCCTACCTTGGGGTAGCGCGGGCTGCAACCGTGAGTACAGAAGCACTTCTTTGGGTTTGGCAAGACATTTTGCCTGTTCCTGGCTGAATGAGCAAACTCCTGCTCCATCTGGACTGGAGCCCCTGAAAGAGGGCCTGCAGACCGTGGCAGCCAAGGCAGGGTGTTTTCCTGCCCTAAACACGGCACAGGCTCTCGCCACCATTTTTCCCAAAGTTGCTGCACAGTTCTGTGTCAGGCCTGGCCCGTTTTACATCTTAGGGCTGAAGGTCCTCAGCTTCTGCCATTTCTCTTTGGGAGTCAGGGGAATTGCTGCTGCTGCTTGTCTGCTACAAAGGGCAGCCTGCAAGACATCTGCATGGGCACATCTCCAGCAGCAGCTACCTGTGGGCTTTCCACAAGGGTCCAAACGGATGGCCGGGGAAGGCGGGCTGTGAATGGGTCCATCTGGGGGACTGGGCAGGGCAAGGCGTGGGTGTTGGCAACAGGGGATGCAAGAGGCATGAATGACCGTGTAATGAATTTTCTTTTCTCCATGGTACCACTTGTAGCTGGGTGTGGTGAACACCGAAGGCGGTTTTGTGGAAGGCGAGAATAAAAAACTGGGACTCTTTGGGGGTTACATCGACATCTTCAGAGGGATCCCCTTTGCTGCTCCTCCAAAGACTCTGGAAGACCCCCAACCTCATCCTGGCTGGGATGGTAAGATGCAGCTTTTGATGCCTTTGGTTTGGGGTTTGGTTTGGTTCACCTCTCTCTCTAGTCCATTACTGACAAGCCAAAGATGTGGTTGCTTGCTTTCATGTACCAAGGAGCAACAAGAAAAAGCTCTTAGTCCCGTGGTGGGTATGAGGGTCTCTGTCTGTTCCCAAGTAACTTGAGTACCCATGATGGAGTTGATGCCTGTAACTGGACCTGGTGTCTTCCCTCTCTCCTCTCAGGAACATTGCAGGCAAAAAAATTCAAAAATCGCTGCATCCAGATGACGCTTGCACAAACGGATGTCCGCGGGAGCGAGGACTGTCTCTATCTGAACATCTGGATCCCTCAAGGGAAGAGACAGGGTACGTGCTTGGCAGAGACCTGGGGAGCAGATTCTCGGTTGCCCTGGGTGGACAAATTGCTCTGGAGCATCTCTGAGCAGCTATGTTCCCGTAGCGGGCAACTGCGGGAGCACTGGTTTTCAGAGGGCAAGGTGGGAGCCATCTTGACTAAAGTCCCCCAGCTGCAGCCTGTTGGGAGTTTCAGCCTCTTCTACAGAGCATGGACTTCCTTGGCCGTAGGCTATTGCAAAGCATCATGTCTGTTTGTGCCCAGGGGGAGTGATGCTCAGCACGTGGGGATGGGGGTGGCTGGGCAGCACCTCCTAGCTATGTTGTGGCTCACGCTGCTTTTCTTCCTCATCTCCCAGTGTCTACCAACCTGCCAGTGATGATCTGGATCTACGGCGGGGGCTTCCTTGTAGGAGGGAGCCAGGGAGCCAACTTCCTCAATAACTACCTGTACGATGGCGAGGAGATTGCCGTGCGGGGCAATGTGATTGTGGTGACCGTCGGCTACCGCGTGGGGCCCCTGGGCTTCCTGAGCACAGGAGATGCAAACATGCCAGGTACCATAGCCACTTTCTCTTCTGGGGACCCTACCATGGGTCCCCAGCTTATGAGCTCTGCTGTGCCCTTGCTCAATGGTGGGTGCTCTCTGTTGCTCAGGGAACTACGGGCTGAAGGACCAGCACATGGCTATTGCCTGGGTGAAGAGGAATATCAAGGCCTTTGGGGGTGACCCAGATAACATCACCATCTTTGGGGAATCAGCCGGTGCCGCCAGTGTCTCCCTGCAGGTGTGTTGTCCTTGTTGGACCCCACCAGAGCCACTTCTCCACTTTGTAAACGGTAGAGATGGTCCCCTCGGCACTTGGCCGCTTTCCTCCACGCACACTGCCTGATTAACGTCCTCTCCCGCCCGGGGACAGCAACGCTCAGCCTCTTTGCTTTGTAGCCGCTCCTCCTCCTTGAGTTTGATCAGCCCCACCGCTGCAGGCGTGTGTCCTCACTTCTGGGACCTCTGGTGAAATAGCATTTCCTTGCCATGTCCCCCTACTCTGCTCCTCCTCTCGCCATATCCCCTTTTAACTGAAACTGCTGAGACTGCTAAATAGCACGAGAGCTGGCAGCTTCTCCGTGCCTGGTGCACAAGCTGTGAGGGGGTCGGCCAGGTCTGGCAGGCACTGGTCTCTTCAGGATTTTGCACTTTGTTTCTCTTTCGCACCACAGACGTTGACCCCAAAGAACAAGGGCCTGTTCAAGAGAGCCATCAGCCAGAGCGGCGTCGGTCTCTGCAGCTGGGCCATCCAGAGGGACCCGCTCACCTGGGCTAAAAAGGTAACGTGCCAGTCTTGCTTGAGGGAATGGAAAACAACGAAAGGGATTCCCTAGAGAAGAGCATAACCAGCAAGGGATGTGGCAGGAGCCATGCTGCCCCACACAGAGCTTTGGGAAGACGCTGCTTTGAGATTAAAACCAACCTCTGCCTCTGTGAAGCTGGCAATGACGCCTGGCTTCCGAGGATAACGCTGGGTGGTTTCTCTCTCTCCTCCTGCAGCTTGGAGAAAAAGTGGGCTGCCCCACAGACAACACCACCACCTTGGCCAACTGCCTGCGCGTCTCCGACCCCAAAGCTGTGACGCTGGCCTACCACCTGCAGATGATCAACCTGCCCAGTAAGTGGCCCGGGCCGTGCCGTGGTCCCCCACCCACACAGGGCTCACCATGCCTTTGAGGGGACGCTGGGGCGATTGCCAGGAGCGTTGAAGCAGTGCTTGTGCCCTTCAGAAGGGGCACGATAATGACAGACCTCGCAGTTGCCCTTGCGCAGGCAGGTGCACGTTGCGCTGAATGAACACTGTTCATCGTGCAATGGCAGCGGTGGCAGAGGAATTATCCAAGGGCCGTGTCTTGGCTCCAAAGCAGCTGTTTGGGCTTTCTGCTCTCTGAAAGCAGCAAGAGCAATTCCGGCACAGAGCTTACAAAGAAAGAATTAATTGACCACAACCCTGCTATTTTCATTTGAGTCGCTGGGTGGAGTGTAGAGCTCTGGCAGCAGGTAGGGAACGCTTCTGCTTTTGCTGCCCGTGAGAATTTCCTTCCCAGAAGACTTTCCTCCACTTGCTCTCCCCGTGCTCCCAGTAAATAGCCCCAGTATTCAGCCTCGCTCAGGACAGAGAGTGGCCAAGCCACTGCTGTGCAGCTGCACTGGCCTGAGCCGGCTGTCCTGGCAAGGAGCGAGCGCAGCCAGATGGGGTGGGGAGGAGAAGTTCTGCTCTTCCCTGCCTTTGGCTGGGCTTTCTGGGGAGGGGCTGTGGGAAGGAGGAGAGGAACCGTCGATGTTACCTGCCGATACTTGGCCGGCAGATCTTTTGTTCCTCTCCCCCGCCTACGGGCGTGAGGCTTACTGAACGTGATCCCGTGGTCACGCTGAAGTCACCACCCAAGCTCTCATTCACCTTGGCCTGTTCCTTCCACGGTTCCTTGAGCCGTGGGATATGCCAGGCCACACATCTGTCTTTCCTCTGCTCCTAACGGACTCTGGTTTTGTCCCCTGCTGCAGCTCCCCTGGTTCACACACTTGCCCTCACGCCTGTCATCGATGGAGACTTCCTCCCAGACATGCCGGAGAACCTCTTTGCCAACGCTGCTGACATTGACTACATTGCTGGGGTCAATAACATGGATGGACACATCTTTGCTGGCATTGATTTACCTGCTATCAACCGCCCGTTTGTGAAAATCACTGCGTAAGTGAAGGATGCTCCTGAAGCCCTTAACAGGAGGAGCCTTGTCTATAATGTAGCCCCCAGCCTCCCAGGACTTAGACCTGAGTGGTAGGGCCCTGCCTTCAAAACAGGATGTCACTCCAAGCCAGGGTGCCTAGGGCATACGTTGCCAAGTCCAGAGCCCTCAAGAGAAAGGCCCAGCAGTGGGGAAGCTTCCCCATACACCTTTAAGGTGCTCCTGAACTTGGCACCAGCGATAGGCTTGGCAGCCCTGGTGTTCTCTGTCCAGAGCAGGTATGTGCCAGACATGCTGGGTGCCTGACCCACAAGACTCCTCTCTTATCTTGGCTCACAAAGGGAGCTTGTGGCCAATTTCCAACCCCTGTCCCCCCTCCCCCCAACTGTTCTGCTGAGAAAGCTGGGAAGCACACGTGCTCTGTCTAAGACCTGGAATGAAATCACCGGCTTTTACTCCACCAAACTGGTGCTCACCACAGGGTTGGATGTGATGTTGGATGAATGGTATCTGGGATCCATTTCCATGAGCTCTGCCCCGCCTGAAGCTGCTGGTCTGCAATTGGTTGATACCACTTGTCTTTTCAGGGACGAGGTCTATAATTTGGTCAAAGGACTTACTGTGGACAGGGGTGAGCGTGGAGCCAACCTGACATACAATATCTACACGCAAGTGTGGGGTGACAACCCAGACCAGGAGGTCATGAAGAAAACAGTGGTGGATCTGATGACTGACTACATCTTCCTGATTCCCACACAGTGGGCACTGAGTCTGCATGCGCGTAATGCCCGGTGAGCAGCTCAGCCCTGGCAGGAGCCCAAAGCCCCCCTGCAGGCTAAAGATGCTGCATTTCCAGCACAGTGGGGCTGAGGAGCACGTTAAGGGGGCAGAGACTTGAAGGAGGCAGAGTTTTTGGTACTGAGTGCACACTTACACTTGGCTTGTACATTCGATGATAGGAGGGTTAGGGTGGGAATCGGAAACGGGAGATAAAAATTACCAGATAGAAGGATGCTTTCTCCTGAGAGCACTGCTTGGATGCATGTGAGCCTCTTCCAAGGCTGAATCTCTGGCGCTGCCGGTATTTGGAGGGTGGTGATGAACCCGCACCCCTTCCTCTGCCTCCACTCGCAGCTGCTTAGCAATTCTGTTTTATTTCCCCAGGAACGCCAAGACATACAGCTACTTGTTCTCGCAGCCATCCCGAATGCCCGTCTACCCAAGCTGGGTAGGGGCAGACCATGCCGATGACCTGCAGTACGTATTTGGGAAGCCCTTTGCCACTCCCCTGGGCTACCTGCCCAAGCACAGGAAAGTCTCGTCTGCCATGATTGCTTACTGGACCAATTTTGCCAGGACAGGGTGAGTGATTCCGGTTCCACATTTGGGGCTTGCTGCAGCACTTCGGCCTGCTGCCTTTGCCTATTAACTTCTCAGGAGCAGCTCCCAAAAGCGGGGCATCCTCTGTCTGTACTTGTCTTGTGAGCCTGGGTCTGTGTCTTCTGGGGATGGAGTTTTCTCTGGGTCCTCCTCCCCATCCGGAGAACACCTGGGGACAGCAGAAGCATTTTCAGAACTTGTGAACTCTGCTTAAACTTAACGATGAGGATTGTTTCTGAATCTTGGTGTTCAGACAAGGGTCAAGTCCCTTGCTGCGGACCAGGACGATGCTGGTGGGGACCAAGGCAGGAGACTGCAGGTCGGCAAGCCGCTCCTAGCAGGCAGACTTGCTGTTGCTTGTCCCAGTGTCAGGCTCTCTCTTTGCCCTCTCTGAAAGCTTCATTTCAGCGGACGGGGGAACCTGCAAACACCACAAACCTTGGTGCATCCACAAGCTGCCCTGATAAAACAGAACTTCTGTGTCTCCTTTTCCCCCAGTGATCCCAACAAAGGCTACTCTGAGGTGCCTGTTACCTGGCCGCCCTACACCAACGAAAGCGGTTACTACCTGGAAATCAACAACAAGATAAATCAGAACTCCGTGCAGCAGAATTTGAAAGCCCGGTACGTGAACTTCTGGAAGTCGAACTATCTGAAGCTGCCGCAGGTTGCCAACTTCTCCCTGACCGAGGAACTGCTGTGGAGCTAAGCAAAACCACCTTTAGAAGATTGTCCCCATTCATTAAAGGCTTGCTTGTAACTGAGCGTTTCTGGCTTCTCCGTGTCTTTGCCATGACGGGCTTTTCCCCCTGCCATGAAGGTTGGGCAGCAAGCAACGTCCTGTCCCCGGGCAGAGTGTGTTCCCCTGCCCCACAGCCTGGCCCAGGGCAGCTGCTGACAGCCGGGGGCCACGTGCTGTGCCAGCCGCTTGGCTCGGGGTTTGTTCTTCCTCGTTGCCTGGGTGGCCCCGGGCAGGATGGGCCCAAGCCTGACCCATCCTCTGGGCATCCCCACGTGCCCATCGGCATCCCCGCCACTCGCACGCAGCCCTTGGGTCGGTACAGTTGTACAGGTGCGTGCAGACCGACCGACCGGTGCCCGGCAGCCCACGGGCACAGCCCCCGGCCCAGAAACTGGAGGGGGAGAAGCAACGC